ATAAAATCAACCTTAAGTTTATCTCTGTTCTCTGTTTTCAACCGAAATATACAAAGTGTTCAATGATTTCATAAAGGGATGCGTTTTGAGCACAGGTGGCACTGTTTGCTGTCGGGGTATCCCTAACCGGAAACGGCGTACAATGTGAGCCAACGCAAGCTTAGCCTCCAGTATGACAAACGCCTTTCCGGGACAGACGCGGGCGCCGGCGCTGAACGGCATGAATGTAAACGGCTTTATATTGTGACGATATTCGGGCAAAAACCGGTCGGGATTGAATTTGTCCGGGTCGTCGAAAAACTCGCCCGACTGATGCATTGCGAATACCGGTATCTCTATTCCCTGTCCCGCCGGCACAACAATCCCGGTATCGCCGAGCGGGTAGTCGTGTCCGGGCATACGGAACACCTTAAACGGGGTAGAGTTTAGCCGCAGTGACTCATCGATCACAGCCTCCAGGTATGGAAGTTTTGAGAGGGCGTCGAACCCGATCTCGCCGTCCGAATCCACGGCGCCGGCGATCTCTTCGTACAGTCGGTCCTGAGCTTCGGGTTTGACCGCCAGTTCGTACGCAATAAACGTCAATAGATTGGAGACCTGATCGAAGCCAGTGGTGTATATACCGAACCCCTGGGCTATAATCTCGGCTTCAGTCATAGCCTTATCCGTTAGATTTGTTTGGTTTGAATTGCCGTCAGATTTTTGGTTGTCTTCGTCTGTAATAATTAGTTATGAAAATTGATTACCAATTATTCCATAGTTTAAACATGCAGTGCATTAACTGTGAAATTATTATACAATTACTACAAACATGGTCAATTTAGGCTATATAACATAACCTAGTTAGTACACTTACAGTATACATCAAAACATTAATGTAATTTTAATGCAAATGTAAGTATTGGACACTATTAATAATAGTCTATTATATCAGCAGACATTATTTACACTAGAGTACACCCAGCATAAAACCCTTGTGTTGTAATTTATAGAGTATTCATATGTTAGTCACATATAGTGTACTCTAATATAAAGTCTATACTTTAAAAACACCTTGATGATTCAATAACCACGTCATATTATTAATGTCCCCNAGAGTATTCATATGTTAGTCACATATAGTGTACTCTAATATAAAGTCTATACTTTAAAAACACCTTGATGATTCAATAACCACGTCATATTATTAATGTCCCCTATTTTATTCTGCCGAGTTATAAGTCTATTATATCCACAATAGATAACATGTTAAGGTTTATAGTTAAATTTTTTAAAAATAAACAAATAATTAACACATGTATAAAGACCTTGATTATCATCATCGGGCTGTTTTGCATTCGGGTCCAATTTCCAGTCCATAAACATACTGATCATATCACTGCCCTTATCGGCCGACCTCTCCCGGGCGCGCATCACATCCACCACTGTATCGCATATATTGGCGATACGGCGCTCATCATAGGGCGAGTTAAGATTGAGCATGTTCAACAATTTACCAGGCAAAAATGTCAATATTTGTACCGCGTAGATTTTCCACGCGGGCACGTCATGCAGAGTCCAGGCGTTGGCCACAAATGGGTGCCTGAGATCTTTCCGGGGGTCGGTGTGTACGCCGAACGCGCACCGGGTTGTAGTGGACAGCGAGAAACAGTCAAACGTGCGCTTAATTTCCAACGCCTGGCGTGAGTCGGCGTGAGTTTGCATGACGTCCAACAGTTGTTCGCTCACGCATTGGCGCATTTGCGGGTAGTGTTGACGCATGCGCCCCACCGTTAGCGCCGGTGTGATGGCCGCGCGCATGCGCCGCCACGTGTCCCCTCTGGCCATAATGAGCAGGTGTTTGATGATAGGGTGGCCGCCATCGGAGGGTTTCACGTTTGTGTTGAATACCTTGGAGTCTTTGATTAGAATCTGTTTAATGAGTTCCGGTTCCGCCACTTGTATGGATGGTTTGTTGCCGACGTATATGCTATGAAAAGTAATTTAATTAAAAATAGTGATCATGATTCATGATTTATTTGCATACAATATGCGAAATACTTCATGTTATGGTATGGGTTGAGAGAGAAAATAGATAATACAATTATTAAACTACTAAATCATATTTTACAATACTCGAGATTCAAGGTACATGAATCATTAATGGTTAGAGGGAGGCCGGGACTGAAACATATTGAACGTGGTTAATGAATCATTAAGTTTATTAATCAATTATTATTCATGATAAACGTTACAATAATTGCAGTCATCAAGTGCCCTGATGCTAATAATGTTTATTAATATATAGTATATGAGTTTAAACCCCAATTGTTATATTAGTATACCCTATATATGAATGAATTATGAATAGTGTATAAATTATAACACATTTGAATAATGCTGTGTCCACGCAGGTGGACAAACCGGGCATACATGTACATGATAATTTATAATTGACTAGCAAACAAATAACGCATTTTAACCTAGTCATCTTTGTTTAGTTTACAATAGAAAATTACCCATAACAATTTTTATAATATTACATTTCATGATAAACAACATGACAATTAAGTCCACAAAACATTGTTTTTCTAGTCACGAGTCTATGGATGTGTTAGTCAAGTGTTAATTACCCGTGAATTTTGCCGAACTGTTCCAACCGCCGGACGTCCAGTACTGCCTTCGATGCGAATAACAAGTCTAATAGATTACCAAAAATTGGTAACGGTTTCGGACCCTTTACGCCAATTTTTTCAAAGTAATCTAGGTGAGCTGTTAAATGCTTGTAGCTATAAATGCAATAAATTAATTTATCATGGCATAATTATATTGTTAATTGTAAAAGTTTAATTAATTAGACATGAAAATAATTACATATAATAAGAGACAATTCCAGCGGCAATCACAAAGAGTCCATTGGTTGACAACAAAAATGATGCCAAAAATGTGAGCATTTTTACATTCAAATGTATAAACTAGATTAAATTAGTGTAAATTTATGATTCAAAACTACACAGTGTAGTTTGTTAATTATTACAAAAATTGAGTACTGTGTTGTCCGGCACTTTTGTATAAAATAAATTATTAATGTATATAATTTATTTAGCTGAACTTATTAAATTAATTTTAATCATTAAATATACTGTGGTGTATTTTTTATCATTTGCACAAAAATCAATGACAAAGTTATCAATAGTTAGTTATTTTTTGCGTAATCATGATGATTTAATCGACATTTGTGCATAAATAAAATAATTAAGCCTTGGTTTCGCAAATGTAAAACTTAATTTTTGATTTGTTTATGTTCAATTATCGATTATCAATTTGTCTGGTGATAGTTAATTGGCAGCACATTAATAGTTTTAATATAAATAAACAACCAACTGCTTTTATAACCTAACAATTATTTTATCAATTAAAATAACATTTGTTTAACCTTGATAAAATAAGTTCAGTGGTTAACTGTACCTTAATTAAATGCACCAAAACTGCTATAAACAAAATGTTAAAAAGTTAAAATAAGAAAAAAACAATAAATATAAGTTAGATATCAAATCATACTTATTGTATTTTAATTGTTTTAAAACATTAAAACAAACACTGAACTATAATAAAAACTACTTCTATTATAAACTAAATCTAATTTTTTAATTCTTTAAAATGAATGATAAAATTTTTGCAAAACTTAGGGATCAAATAAAATGAGAGACGAGATCCCAGAATAAAGTACTTACCGTAGGGTTAGGCCCACCGGTGCTCTAAATCTGTTGATAATACTGGGACTCGTATTCGCCGATAATATCGGGGGTGACACACCTGTAGATCCAGCCATCAATGCCGAGGTATGCGTTCACACCATCGCAAAGGTCCGCCACTTTGGCATCGATGAGTTGCCGCCAACCGTAGTGGATAGGCATGTAACGGGTGTCCGGCGCCAATTTGAAAGCCGTGTCATCCAACTTGCGGTACAGAAGAGGATCGGGTGCCACGCGATGGGTTTGATTGTCGTACTTGTAGTCCACAGTCTGTTTGCCGATGTGAACGTTGAAACCAATCTCTTCGGCGCCCGCATACTGTATGGCCGGATAGTATGGCGGCACCGGTGGAAACAAACTCATGCGCTCATTGTCTCGCCGCCAATTGACCACACGGTGACAGTTGTAGAGTACGGGCAACCGCTGTTGGTCGGCGGGTCTTTCTCTGGCAAAAGTATTGCCAACACCGGCGTCGATGTCTACGGTGACCGTACGGTCGGGCCCTTCGGTCTCGCCGTTGTCTACCATACGATTGGTCAGTATTCGCCACATGAGGTTTACATCTTGCGGGCACTGGAAAGTCTGTTCGTGAAACACACGATGCGGATCGTTGTTCATCTGTACGCACGACTCGTACAGACGCTCATAGCTGTGACGAGCGGCCAACTCGACCGCTCCCTCATCCCAGTCCAACAATGCCTCGAGTCGGCCGCCTTCGGGCGCAGTCAGTAGGCAAGTCCTGCGACGACCCTGTGGGTCGCCAGGGTACCATTGACCACGGTGATTACCGCGGATCAAAGTCAATTCCCACGCGATGGAGCCGTACTCCGACTCATTGGGCGCCAGGAATAGCACCGGGTGTGCGACGAGTCCCACATTGATGGCCACATCCAGATGTCCGCAATCGAGCGGATGATTGTTATGGCCAATGCCTGTCCAATTGAAATGATGTGCGGCTAGTGTGGTAGGCGGACGCAATTCTAGCGCACCCTCCACGATCACCACTCCGCCTTGTTGCACCAGGGTGCGATTGTGGGCACTATGGACCAAAGGGTTACTGTTGTTGTACTCGTCAATGACCACCAGTTTGGCGCCGGCGCACACATAGATGGCGAAGCATTCAGTCATTGGGCTCCCAATTCGCATCGTCTCTGCGCGCGCATTGGCCAGACTGTTGGCCACGTCGGCACCGGTCACTTCGTACACCTGGCCGAATCGGTGCGGTTTTACGTACCTTTCGTACCGTATGTAATACCGTTCGCCGGCCAAGTGTGCAGGTGTGGTGTTGTACGCCCGACCGCCCAGCAGGTGATTGTACCGGAGGCCTACTGTCAGCTGATAAGTGCCCCGAACATAAACCATAGCGCCCGTCACCGCATTCTGGAACGAATAGATCTGTTCGTTGACCGCCGCGGGTACGGCATTGGGGGCACAATAGCCGCCTTCCCGGCGTCGGACCGTCGGATACACCTGACTGATTGGCGTCCGTCTGCAAATCAATTCAGTCGCCCCTACAGCGAGGTATATGTTTTCGACGCGTCCGCTACGGGCCAAACAGACGTGTGCGCCAAACTGGCGCCGGGCCCTCAATTCCCAATACGCTAGAAAATCGTCATTATTAATGCTAAGCGACAGGTTATGGTTGTGCGCGGTGCGGCCCACGTAAAACAGGTTCAGCACCTGACAAGTGACCAGATACTGGCCGGTGTAGTCTCCGTGATACCACTCGTCGTACGGCAATCGGTCGTATTGGCGGGCATCTGTGGGGTTGCGTTGATAGGCCGCCACAGACAAACCATGCTGGTCGACCACTCGGCGCGCCGCTGCTATTCGCCACCGCTGTAAGCCCTGGCCTACAAACGCCGCAAATGTCCGGAAAGGTTCGAACACCGGTGCCGCTGCCACCGGTGCCACTGCTTGTTGCTGTTGTTGTCCGTTGCCTGCCATTTGCTTTGTATGGATGTGTCCGTCAGTTATCTGCTGTACGCTTAGGGTATGGTTTGGTTTTGGGTTTTTGGAAATTTGTTTTGATTCTTGTTTTTTACTTAAATTTTAATTTTGTTTTCAAATCGGTTTGAATTTTATTAATTTATTTAAATAAAAGCAGATTTATTTTTGATGTTATTTTTGTAAACTTTTTTTTTGATTAATAAAATAACAATTAATGTAATGTTTCAAGTAAAATAATAAAATCAATTTATAAAATAATTAATATTGATTTGTATGGATTTATTGAATTAAAAATTTTATGAATACAAAACATAACATTTATTATTATCTCTATTATAGATAATATCCTATTGTATTACAAAAGCAAAAGTTATTTCAAAGCTACGATTGCATGAGATTTATATCAATTGTTATCAATACAAAGATTGAAATTAACTGCATTTAAAAGTAAATGATTAAATATAATAGGTTTTTATATAAACAAGAACCAGCTGCTTTCATAACCTAATAATTATTTACTCGATTAAAATAACATTAACAAAATAAATCTGCTTTTATTTAAA